GGGCGCAGGCCCCGCATGAAATTACCAGTAGCAGCTCTCCTGGCATTGGTGTCAGAAATCTTTTTGGATGTCGTTAGTGCTTTAGGGTCCCATTGGGATATATTGTGCTCTAGACCAGTGCTCCTCAGTGCCTGGGGACTAGTGCAGGGATTTTCTACTGGAGGACATGGATCTTGCTGCCAACAAGCTCAGCGTTTATGACAAACTTGCAGAGACTGTTGATTTGGTGAGACAGATGGGCCATCAGTGTGGCATGTCAGAGAATGCAATTGAAAAACTTATCAGACAGCTGCTGGAAAAGAATGAACCTCAGAGGGCACCCCCCCACCACCAGTATCCTCTCCTTATAGCCATGTATAAGGTTCTCGCAACCTTGGGATCAATCATGCTCACTGCCTACTTTGTGATTCAACCTTTCAGCCCATTAACACCTGAGCCAGTGCTTTCTGGAGCTCACACCTGGCGCTCACTCATTCATCACATTAGGCTGATGTCCTTGCCCATTGCCAAGAAATACATGTCAGAAAATAAGGCAGTTCCTCTGCGTGGGGGTGATGAAGACAGACCCTTTCCAGACATTGACGCCTTGTGGACAAAGAACTGTGAGCAGAATGAGTCAGAGCATTCCTGCCAACTGTACTGGCTGTGCCCAGGAACCTCTGAAGGTGATGCTCCTGGAAGACGCCCCAAGGAAATTTGAGCGCCTCCATCCACTGGTGATAAAGAGGGGACAGCCCTTGTCACCTGAGGAGATTCAGCATTTTTTGTGCCAGTACCCCAAGGTGACAGAAGGCTTTACTGAAGGGTTTTTCACCAAGTGGTGGCGCTGCTTCCCGGAACAGTGGTTCCCATTTCCTTATCCATGGAGAAGACCCCTGAACAGATCACAAATGTTACGTGAGCTTTTTCCTGTTTTCACTCATCTGCCATTTCCTAAAGATACCTCTTTAAACAAGTGCTTCCTTCTTCACCCGGAGCCTGTTGTGGGGAGTAAGATGCATAAGATGCATGACCTGTTTCCCACTGGCAGTGGTGAGGCCACGTTGCAGCTCGTCCCTCCCTTCCAGTGCCAAAGACATTGTCAGTCTGTGGCCATGCTGATAGATTTGGGGGATATTGATGAAAATGTTGAGACCCCAGAGAGGAGAGGTGACCACCCCAAAGCCGTACCATCAGTCGAAGCAGAGCATCAAGTCCTTAAGTGTCTGCTTGAACGCAGTCAAGCCAGGAGAGGACAATCCAGGAACGCATACCCATTTTGCAAATAAAGCAATACCAAGCAATATATAAGGGCAGTGGTCACACAAGGAAATGTTACCTTCTTGACCACAGCCAAGTCACAGCCTTACATTGATGACTCACCCTTGACTCTGGCTCAGTGTTTTCCCAAATGTGACTTGTCCTGTGCCTTATATCCTAAAAATCTCTTCCAAAGAAACAGGTTTGAATCAACTGCTGTCAGTAGCAATCAATTTGACAGCAGAGTTTTCTTGGAAGAAGGAAAGAAATCTGCAAGTTTCACTATTGACCTCGTTTTTCCTGCCTCTCCAAGCCTAGGCAAAACCTGGAATCTCTGGCAAAGCCCAGACTGGTTTTCCAATTGAATTCTTTTAATTTTACCCACTTAGAAGACCCCCAAATCCCTGGAAACCTCACACCTCATATGAGGGTAGGAACTGGACTGCAAGTTATGCCAAGTTTTAAATTGTGTAACTTTTATTCAATTTAGAAATAAAAAATAAAAATAATGTACAAATAAAAAAATATTATTATTATTATTATTATTTTTTGAGACAGAGTTTCGCTCTTGTTACCCAGGCTGGAGTGCAATGGTGTGATCTCAGCTCATCGCAACCTCCGCCTCCTGGGTTCAGGCAATTCTCCTGCCTCAGCCTCCTGAGTAGCTGGGATTACAGGCACGCGCCACCATGCCCAGCTAATTTTTGTATTTTTAGTAGAGATGGGGTTTCACCATGTTGACCAAGGATGGTCTCGATCTCTTGACCTCGTGATCCACCCGCCTCAGCCTCCCAAAGTGCTGGGATTACAGGCTTGAGCCACCACGCCCGGCTGATTATTATTATTATTACTATTATTATTATTATTTTGAGATGGCGATTCACACTTGTTGCCCAGGCTGGAGTGCAATGGCACAATATTGGCTCACCTCAACCTCTGCCTCCTGGGTTCAAGCAATTCTCCTGCCTCAGCCTCTTAAGTAGCTGGGATTATAGTCATGCACCACCACACCCGGCTAATTTTTCTATTTTTAGTAGAGATGGGTTTTCTCTGTGTTGGTCAGGTTGGTCTCAAACTCCTGACCTCAAGTGATCTGCCTGCCTCTGGCTCCCAAAGTGCTGGGATTACAGGGTGAGCCACAGCGCCCGGCCTTATTATTATTTTTTGAGATGGAGTCTCGCTCTATTGCCCAGTCTGGAGTGCAGTGGTGCGATCTTGGCTCACTGCAACCTCTGCCTCCTGGGTTCAAGTCATTCTCCTGCCTCAGCCTCTCAAGATGTTTGGACTACAGATACACACCAAATTTAGGCCAGGAGCGGTGGCTCATGCCTCCAGGGTTGAACTTCTGCCTCCTGGGTTCAAGCAATTCTCCTGCCTCAGCCTCCTGAGTAGCTGGGATAACAGGCATGCACCACCACACCTGGCTAATTTTTTTTTTTTTTTTTTTTAAAGACGGGGTTTCACCATGTTGGTCAGGCTGGTCTTGAACTCCCAACCTCAGGTGATCCACCCGCCTTGGCCTCCAAAGTGCTTGGATTACAGGTGTGAGCCACCACACCTGGCCCAATTTTTGTATTTTTAGTAGATGAGGTTTTACCATGTTGGTCAGGCTGGTCTTGAACTCCCAAATGCAAGTGATCCACCTGCCTCGGCCTCCCAAAGTGCTAGGATTACAGGTGTGAGCCACCATGTAAAGATTTCATATTAGAAGAGTTTCTTACCTGTTGTTAATGACTCACCACCAGAGGAAAGCAAGCATCGTTCTTTTTCAAAATAAGTTTACCTATTTATTTATTTATCTATTTTTGAGACGGTGTCTTCCCCCGTTACCCAGGCTGGAGTGTAGTGGCGCGATCTTGGCTCACTGCAACCTCTTGCCTCCCATGCTCAAGCAATCCTTCAAGCAAGCCTCAGCCTGAAGTACCTGGGACTACAAGTGCACGCCACCACACCCAGGTAATTTTTGTATTTTTAGTAGAGACAGGTTTTCACCATGTTGGCTAGGGGAGTCTCGAACTCCTGGGCTCAAGTGGTCTGCCCACCTCATCCTCCCAAAGTGATGGGATTATAAGGGTGAGACACACTGCCCAGCCAATTTATACTTTATAAACACTTCAGGAGTTACGAAAAGGGGATCAGCCTGACGAGATGGCTCATGCCTGTAATCACAGCACTTTCGGAGGCTGATGCAGGCGGATCACAAGGTCAGGAGTTCGAGACCAGGTTGACCAACATGGTGAAACTGTCTCTACTAAAAAAAATATACAGAAAATTAGCCAGGAGTGATGGCAGGCTCCTGTAATCCCAGCTACTCAGGAGGCTGAGGCAGGAGAATCTCTTGAACCTGGGAGGCGGAGACTGCAGTGACAGAGTGAGAGTCCATCTCAAAAAAAAAAAAAGGCCGGGCGCAGTGGCTCACGCCTGTAATCCCAGCACTTTGGGAGGCCAAGGCAAGCGGATCACCTGAGGTCAGGAGTTTCAGACCAGCCTGACCAACATGGAGAAAACCCATCTCTCCAAAACACACAAAATTAGCCGGTGTGGTGGTGCCTGTAATCCCAGCTATTCGGAAGACTGAGGCAGGAGAATCGCTACCCAGGAGGCAGAGATTGCTGTGAGTTAAGATCCCACCATTGCACTCCAGCCTACCAGAACTCTGCCTCAAAAAAAAAAAAAAAAAAAAGAGAGAGAAAGAAGAGGGGATTGTGGTTTTAGTCAGACCCTTGCTGACTTCCAGCACGTCGAGTCGTGAAGAGAAAACAGAAAACTCAGTGTGAGGGGTCACCAGAGGAGAGGCCACCAACCCCGCGGAGAAGCATCAAACATTTCTCAAAGGAAATTGGACAAAGTACCATGTAGACATTTGAGTTTTAAACACAGATTAAAGTGGCAATGAGGGTTTCCCAGTCGTCCTTATCTCCAGTGGGGATGACTAAAGTTCATTCCTTTTGTGAAATCGATGGAAGTAATTTTTGTGACCGTCACTCTCTTGCGACTGCAGCTCTTCCTCCTCTTCCTCGCGGGCCTTCTTCATTTCTTCCTTGGACTGTATGGCATCCATCTCCCTTTCTGGACCCTGGAGAAAGAAACAAAAACAAAACCTCCAGGGGCCAGGGGTTATGCTTCCATGTAGCCTGTCAGTACTCAGGGGAACCCTGCCTTCTAGAAGCCTCCACACCACCTGGGATAGGCTGAATGAGAAGAGTACTAAGATTTCATGTCCTGGACGGGCTCAGTGGTTCACGCCTGTAATCTCAGCACTTTGGGAGGCTGAGATGGGCAGATTATGAGGTCAGGAGTTTGACACCAGCCTGGTCAACACGGAGAAACCCCATCTCTACTAAAAATACAAAAATCAGCTGGGCGTGGTGCCATGCACCTGTAATCCCAGCTACTCAGGAGACTGAGGCAGGAGAATTGCTCGAACCTGGGAGGCGGAGGTCTCGGTGAGCCGAGATCACACCATTGCACTCCAGCCTGGGTGACAGAACGAGAATCCGTCTCAAAAAAAAAAAAAAAAAAAAAAAAAAAAAAAAAAGATTTCATGTCCTAATCCCTGGAACCTTTTAATATTAACCTTACCTGGGGCTGGGTGCAATAGCTCACACCTGTAATCCCAGCACTTTGGGAGACCGAGGCAGGTGAATTACCTGAGGTCAGGACTTCAAGACCAGCCTGACCAATATGGTAAAACCCCGTCTCTACTAAAAATACAAAAACTAGCTGGGCATGGTGGCATGTGCCTGTAGTCCCAGCTACTCGGGAGGTTGAGGCAAGACAATTGCTTGAACCCGGGAGGCAGAGGTTGCAGTGAGCAGAGATTGTGCCACTGCACTCCACCCTGAGTGACAGAGCCAGACTCCACTTCAAAAAAAAAAAAATTACACAACTAAATTAATGATGTAGGAAGAGTTAATCATGTGCTTCATACCTTGGTTTCGCCCCAGGTGGCCTTGCCAAAGTTATCTGCATACTCTTCATCATCTGTGATCAGAAAGTTATCGAAAATGGTTCCAGATCTCACCTGCAGATAAAAAAATAAGGCCTTCATTATTATGTTTTTATTCCTTTTTCTTTTTTTTGGCAGAGTTTCACTCTTTTTGCCTAGGCTGGACTGCAATGGCGTGATCGCAGTTCACTGCAACCTCCACCTTCCAGGTTCAAGTGATTCATCTGTCTCAGCCTCCTGAGTAGCTAGGATTACAGGCATGTGCCATCATACCCAGCCAATTTTTGTATTTTTAGTAGAGATGGGTTTTCACCATGTTCACCAGGCTGGTCTCAAACTCCCAATCTCAGGTGATCTGCCCACCTTGGCCTCCCAAAGTGCTGAGATTACAGGCGTGAGCCACTGCATCCAGTGCTTTTATTCTTTATTATTTGTTTATTTTTCATTTCTTTTTTCCTTTGGAAGTATAAGAAACTCAGGTGAATTTTATTTATTTATTTTTTTTTTCATTTATTATTATTTTTATTTGAGACAGTCTTTTTTTTTTTACTTTATTTTATCTTATTGCATTTTAGGTTTCGGGGTACATGTGATGAACATGCAAGATTGTTGCATAGGTACACACATGGCAGTGTGGTTTGCTGCCTTCCATCCCCTCACCTGTGTCTGTCATTTCTCCCTGTGCTATCTCTTCCCACTTCCCCACCCCCCGCCGAATTTTTTTTATTTTTTAAGAGATGGGGTCTTGCTATTTGCCTAGGCTGGATTTGAACTTCTGGACTTGGCTGGGCATGGTGGCTCACACCTGTAATCCCAGCACTTTGGGAGGCTGAGGCAGGTGAATCACTTGAGGACAGGAGTTCAAAACCAATCTGGCCAACATGGTGAACCCTGTCTCTAGTAAAAATACAAAAAGTATCAGATGTGGTGGTGCATGCCTTTAGTCCCAGCTACTCAGGAGGCTGAGGTGGGAGGATTGCTTAAACCTGGGAGGTAGAGGCTGCAGTGATCTGAGATTGTGCCACTGCACTCCCACCTGGGTTACAGAGTGCGACTCTGTCTCAAAAAAAAAAATGAACTTCTGGGCTCACATGATCCTCCCACCTCAGTTTCCCCAGTAGCTGGGACTACTACAGGCATGAGCCTTATTGTCCCTGGGTACTAGGCCTTCATTATTGATGTGACATATATAACAACTTTTTAAATATAAACAGTTGTATTTTGCTCAGTACTGTGTACTGTAACAGCAATTAGAATAGTGAGTGGTGCCAGGCATGGTGGCTCACACCTGTAATCCTAGCACTTTGGGAGGCCGAGGCCAGCAGATCACCTGAGGTCAGAAGTTCAAGACCAGCCTGACCAACATGGAGAAACCCTGTCTCTACTAAAACTATAAAATTAGCTGGGCGTGGTGGTGCATGCCTGTAATCCCAGCTACTCGGGAGGCTGAGGCAGGAGAATTGTTTGAACCCAGGAGGCGGAGGTTGCGGTGAGCCGAGATTGCGCCATTGCTCTCCAGCCTGCATGACAAGAGCAAAACTCCGTCTCAAAAAAAGAATAGTAGGTGGTGCTTAAACCCATTTCTAGACTATCCTTTCCCTCTGGGGCACTGGCTCCTCAAACTTGGTTACACATTGGGTTCACCAAAACCTTTTTTTTGAGACAAAGTCTCCCTCTGTTTTTTTGTTGTTGTTATTGTTTGTTTATTTGTTTGTTTTGAGATGAAGTCTTGCATTGTCACCCTGGCTGGAGTGCAGTGGCGCAATCTTGGCTCACTGCAACCTCCACTTCTCAGGTTCAACTGATTCCTTCCAGGTTTAAAAGATTCTCCTGCCTCAGCCTCCTGAGTAGCTGGGACTACAAGCATGCACCACCACACCTGGCAAATTTTTGTATTTTTAGTAGAGACGGGGTTTTACTGTTAATGTTAGCCAGCATGGTCTCCATCTCCTGACCTCATGATCTGCCCCTCTTCGCCTCCCAAATTGCTGGGATTACAGGCATGAGCCACCTCACCCACTGGGATCACCAAAACATTAGAAAAAAAAAAAAAATGGCTGGGCGCGGTGGCTCAAGCCTGTAATCCCAGCACTTTGGGAGGCCGAGACGGGTGGATCACGAGGTCAAGAGATCGAGATGGTGAAACCCCGTCTCTACTAAAAATACAAAAAATTAGCTGGGCATGGTGGTGCGTGCCTGTAGTCCCAGCTACTCAGGAGGCAGAGGCAGGAGAATTGCCTGAACCTGGGAGGCGGAGGTTGCGGTGAGCCGAGATCGCGCCATTGCACTCCAACCTGGGTAACAAGAGCAAAACTCTGTCTCAAACAAAAACAAAAACAAAAACTAAAACCTCCCAGCACTTTGGGAGGCTGAGGTGGAAGGACTGCTTGAGACTGGGAGTTCAAATTTGCCTAGACAACATAGTGAGATCCTCATTTCTCAAAAGCAAAAGCTGAGGCCGGGCGCGGTGGCTCAAGCCTGTAATCCCAGCACTTTGGGAGGCCGAGGCGGGTGGATCACGAGGTCAAGAGATCAAGACCATCCTGGTCAACATGGTGAAACCCCGTCTCTACTAAAAATACAAAAAATTAGCTGGGCATGGTGGTGCGTGCCTGTAATCCCAGCTACTCAGGAGGCTGAGGCAGGAGAATTGCCTGAACCCAGGAGGCGGAGGTTGCGGTGAGCCGAGATTGCGCCATTGCACTCCAGCCTGGGTAACAAGAGCGAAACTCCATCTAAAAAAAAAAAAAAAAAAAAAAAAAAAGCTGAGTGTGATGGCTTGTGCCTGTAGTTCTAGCTACTTGGGAGGCTGAGGGGGAAGGATCTTTGGGTCCAGTCTGAGGCTGCAGTGCCAGGATCGTGCCACTGCACTCCAGCCTAGGTGACAGAATGAGACGCAGTCTCAAAAAAGAAACAGAACAGCACACACACACACACACACACACGAAAACTAAAGCAAATTTAAAACCAAATGACCTGCCAAAGCTCCAGGCCGATGGCACCGATGTTCTCAAATTCTGAGAGGTCGTACTGTGTCAAATAGTTGGTATTCTTCATTTTATGGTGGAGCCAAATGTCTCTATCAATACCTTCTAGTTTCAGGCCATCCTGCATCAAAAAAAAAAAAAAGGGGGGGTGGTCTCAATGACATAGGCAGGGGAGGGGCATCCCTGGAATCATGCAAAGAGGCCACACACCTGGCGCGGCGGCTTCTGGAGCATTGCGGCCTGCCAGTCCCCATCCAGTTCACCATTCCAGTCACTCTGCCTGCTGGCGCTGGCGTCCAGAAAATGCTTCTCCCAGTCCTTCACAGACATGTAAGGAAAAAGGAAAATCTGTCAGATGCTCATGTATTTGTTGCCGTTGCTTCCGATTTTTCTTTCTTTCTTTTTTTTTTTTTTTTTTTTGAGACAGTCTCGCTCTGTCGCCCAGGCTGGAGTGCAGTGGCACAATCTTGGCTCACCGCAACCTCCACCTGGGTTCAAGCGATTCTTTAACCTCAGCCTCCCGAGTAGCTGGGACCACAGGCGTGTGCCACCACGCCTGGCTAATTTTTGTATTTTTAGTAGAGATAGGGTTTCACCATGTTGGCCAGGATGGTCTCGATCTCTTGAACCCGTGATCCGTCCACCTTGGCCTCCCAAAGTGCTGGGATTACAGGTGTGAGCCACTGTGCCCGGCCTGTTTTTGTTTTCTGAGATTAGGTTTTGCTTTCACCCAGGCTGGAGCACAATAGCGCAATCATGGCTCACAGCAGCCTCAACCTCCTGGGCTCCAGGGATCCTCCTGCCTCAACCTCCTGAGTAGCTGAGACCACAGGCACCCACCACCTTGCCTGCCTACTATTTTGATGTTTTGTACAGTCAGCGTCTCCCTCTGTTGCTCAGCCTTGTCTCAAACTCCTGGGCTCAAGCAGTCCTCCTGCCTTGACCTCCAGAAGTGCTGGTATTGCAGGCATGAGCCACTCTACCCAGCCAGATGCTCAGATATGAAAAGGAATTTTTTTTTTTTTTTTTTTGAGATGGAGTCTCTCTCCGTCACCCAGGCTGGAGTACAGTGGCACAATCTCTGCTCACTGCAACCTCCGTCTCCCAGGTTCAAGCAATTCTCTTGTTGCATGCCACCAGCTGGCTAGTTTTTGTATTTTAGTAGAGATGGGGTTTCACCGTGTTGCCCAGTCTGATCTTGAACTCCTGAGCTCAGGCAATCCACCCGCCTCAGCCTCCCAAAGTGCTAGGATTACAGATATGAGACACTGTGCCTGGCCAAGACAGAAAACTCTTTTTATGTTTTTGAGATGGAGTCTGGCTTTTGTCACCCAGGCTGGAATGCAATGGCATGATCTCAGCTCACCACAAGCCCCGCCTTCCAGTTCAAGCGATTCTCTTGACTAAGCCTCCTGAGTAGCTGGGACTATAGGCACCCACCACTATGCCTGGCTAATTTTTGTATTTTTAGTAGAGATGTGGTTTCGCCATGTTGGCCAGGATGGTCTCAAACTCCTGACCTTGGGTGATCCACCTACCTTGGCCTCCCAAAGTGCTGTGATTACAGGCATGAGCCATTGCGCCCAGCCAAGACCAGAAATTCCTAGATGCCAACAGGCAGGCACAGGCTGGTGACCCCTGTCCCAGTGTCCCTCTCCCTTCTTCAATTTGGTGGTTAGGAGGCCAAGTGCTTGGTGTTTCCAATCCCACTGAGGGCTTCAGGGCAACACCAGACTGCCTAATTTTTTCTCCCTAACCTGCCATATGACCTCAGCCTTTTGCCCATACTATGGAGAGGAGCGGCGGTGTAGAAAACCTCAAGTAGTGGCTAGAGTGAAAATGATGGTGCAAAAAGTGAGGGCGGTGGCTCACGCCTGTAATCCCAGCACTTTGGGAGGCCAAGGCAGGCAGATCACCTGAGTTCAGGAGTTCGAGACCAGCCTGACCAACATGGTGAAACCCTGGGAGATGGAGGTTGCAGTGAGCTGAGATCACACCACTGCACTCCAGTCTGGGCAACGAGCTAAACTCTGTCTCAAAAACAACCAACTCTTTTATGATACCCAGATGTGTAGAGATGTGGCTGGTCTCTATTGTGTGCTCTGGGGAGGGCATTTTGTGGTACAATGTTGCCATCATGGCTACCAGCCATGCAGCAATTGTCCAGTAACTGGGTACTTACAATCCATATTTGCACACTTTCTTTTTTTTTTGAGACTGAGTCTCACTCTGTCACTCAGGCTAGAGTGCAGTGGCACAATCTCAGCTCACTACAACCTCCGTCTCCCAGGTTCCAGCGATTCTCCTGCCTCAGCCTCCCGAGTAGCTGGGTTTACAGGTGTGTGCCACCACACCCAACTAATTTTTGTATACTTTAGTAGAGACGGGGTTTCACCATATTGGCTATGCTGCTCTCGAACTCCTGACCTCATGATTCGCCCACCTCGGCCTCCCAAAGTGCTGGGATTACAGGTGTGAGCCACCGTGCTGGGCCTGTTTGTGCACTTTCTTTCTTTCTTTGTTTTTTTTTTTTGAGACGGAGTTTCGCTCTTGTTACCCAGGTTGGAGTGCAATGGCGCGATCTCGGCTCACCGCAACCTCCACCTCCCGGGTTCAGGCAATTCTCCTGCCTCAGCCTCCTGAGTAGCTGGGATTACAGGCACGTGCCACCATGCCCAGCTAATTTTTTGTATTTTTAGTAGAGAAGGGGTTTCACCATGTTGACCAGGATGGTCTCGATCTCTTGACCTCGTCATCCACCTGCCTCAGCCTCCCAAAGTGCTGGGATTACAGGTGTGAGCCACCGCGCCCGGCCCCTGTTTGTGCACTTTCTAGAGTTGCACAGGAAAAATTCACACCTGGGCTTTGATGTCTTCAGTTAGCTTCCGGTCCTTCGATTCTGCCAGGGACTTTTCCTTCTTGAGTGATGCTAAGTTCCAATCATACTCTATGCTGCCGGATTCAATCGACTGGCCATCAATTTTCACATCGTAAGAAAGATCTGGTCTTAAAATTAGAGTGTAGAGGTGTGTAAAGCCATCAACCTGCACATTTTAGGGGGAAAAGCATAACAATTAAACCCTCAATTCTTTTTTTTTTTTGAGATGGAGTCTTGCTCTGTTGCCCAGGCTGGGGTGCAGGGGCGCAATCTCAGCTACTGCAACCTGTGCCTCCTGAGTTGAAGCGATTCTCCTTCCCTCAGCCTCCTGAGAAGCTGGGATTACAGGCACCTCCTACCATGCCTGGCTAATTTTTTGTATTTAGTAGAGTTTCATCATGTCGGCCAGGCTGGTCTGGAACTCCTGAACTCAGGTGATCCACCTGCCTTGGCCTCCCAAAGTGTTGGGATTATAGGCATGAGCCACCGCGCTTGGCCAACCATCAGTTTTTTTTTTTTTTTTTTTGAGATGGAGTTTTGCTCTTGTTGCCCAGGCTAGAGGGAAATCGAGTGATCTTGGCTCACTGCAACCTCCACCTCCCAGGCTCAATCGATTCTCCTACCTCACCCTCCCAAGTAGCTGACATTACCATGTAGCAGGTATTCTCACCCTCCCAAGTAGCTGACATTACAGGCATTCACCATGACGCCTGGCTAATTTTTTGTATTTTTAGTAGAAACAAGGTTTCTCCATGTTGTTCAAGCTGGTCTCAAACTCCTGACCTAAGGTAATCCACTCACCTTGTCCTCCCAAAGTGCTGGGACTATAGGCATGAGCCACCACACCCCACCCCTCAATGTTTTAATGCAGGTCTAAATATGTAGTATGTATGTATGCATGTATTTTGGAAACAGGGTCTCACTCTGTTGCCCAGGCTGGAGTGCAGTGGTGCAATCACAGCTCACTGCAGCCTTGACCTCCAGGGCTCAAATAATTCTCGCATCTCAGCCTCCTGAGTAGCTGGGACCACAGGTTCCTAGCATTACACCTGGCTAATTTTTGTATTTTCTGTAGTGACAGGGTTTCACCATGTTGCCCAGGCTGGTCTGGAACTCCTTGGCTCAAGTGATCCTCCTGTCTCAGCCACCTAAAGTGCAGGGATTAGAGGTGTGAGCCACTGCGCCAGGCCATTTCTCCAGAATGTTTTTTCATCCTGAATATTTCATTCATGAATGAGGATGGATGTGACTGTCCTATCGTAACCCTCCTAGGGCAAATGATGATATGTCAGAGCTCACAGTAAAAAATGAGAGTGCCCTCCTCTCATCTTGGGGTAAAGACTTCAGGAAACCAGTCAAGAAGACGAGTATCTCTGACAGGCCCCTAAATTGGGAACCGGGAATAGGAGGTATGTTTACGAAGACCCATCCCCGGCTCAGTTAAGTATTTTACGATCAAAACTATTTTCTCTAAACTGAGTTATCATCGGGCAAGAGTTAACACTCATTTATTTGTATACAAGAGCACGTACCTTACACCTGATTAATTTCTTGTTTTCATGATACTGATTCTTGAAATGTAAAATAACATGAACTTTCTTGATATCAAATCCACAAATATCGGGTCCTACAAAAAAAAAATTAGCTGTTCTCATTTTCTTTCCATAATGCATCACCATAGAATAGCCACCCCATAACCTTTCTTCTTCTTTTTCTCTTTTTTGTTTTTTTGAGACAGTTTTGCTCTTGTTGCCCAGGTTGGAGTGCAGTGGTGCGATCTCAGCTCACCGCAACCTCCGCCTCCCAGGTTCAAGCGATTCTCCTGCCTCAGCCTCCCGGTAGCTGGGATTACAGGCATGCGCCACCACGCCTGGCTAATTTTGTATATTTAGTAGAGACGGGTTTTTCCATGTTGGTCAGCCTGGTCTCAAACTCCCTACCACAGGTGATCCGCCTGCCTTGGCCTCCCAAAGTGTTGGGATTACAGGCATGAGCCACTGCGCCCAGCCCATTTTTCTTAAATATAATCAGGTATAATCCAATAATCAGATATTCACACTAAGTTATTTATTTATTTATTTTTGAGACAGCATCTCGCTCTGCTGCCCAGGCTGGAATGAAGTGGTGCAATCTCAGCTCACCGCAATCTCCACCTCCCAGGTTTAAGTGATTCTCCTGTGTCAACCTCCCAAATAGAGTCAGCTGTGATTACAGGCATGCACCACCACGCCTGGCTAATTTTTGTATTTTTAGTAGAGATGGGGTTTTGTGTTGTTGGCTAGGCTGGTCTCAAACTACTGACCTCTGGTGATTCGCCTGCCTTGGCCTCCCAAAGTTCTGGGATTACAGGTGTCAGCCATTGCACCTGGTCACATGTGCAAATATCTTATTGCTGTTAAAGGACAATGTCCTGGCTTTCCACTCACTTCTTAGTGTGTTCTGAAGTTTATTTAAATATTCAAAGTGGCCTGTAATCCCAGCAGTTTAGGAGGCCCAAGGTGGGGGGGATCACTCGAGGCCAGGAGTTCAAGACCAGCCTCACCAACATGGTGAAACCCCGTCTCTACTAAAAATACAAAAATTGCCGGGCGCGGTGGCTCAAGCCTGTAATCCCAGCACTTTGGGAGGCTGAGGCGGGTGGATCACGAGGTCGAGAGATCGAGACCATCCTGGTCAACATGGTGAAACCCCGTCTCTACTAAAAATACAAAAAAAAAAAATTAGCTGGGCATGGTGGCGCGTGCCTGTAATCCCAGCTACTCAGGAGGCTGAGGCAGGAGAATTGCCTGAACCCAGGAGGCGGAGGTTGCGGTGAGCCGAGATCGCGCCATTGCACTCCAGCCTGGGTAACAAGAGCGAAACTCCGTCTCAAAAAAAAAAAAAAAAAAAAAAAAATACAAAAATTAATGAGAATGATGGTGTGCACCTGTAGTCCCAGCTACACAGGAGGCTGAGGTGAGAGGCTGGGTGACAGAGTGAGACTCCATCTCAAAATAATAATAATAATAATAATAATACAACTTTGGTCTGCTGCACAGCAAGCTCTACGTGAATTACTCTCTCTGTTGGAATTCCCATGTCTTGATGAATCTGCTCTGCCTAGGCTATGGGCAAGGTGAACCCCTTGGGTGGTTACATACAAGCTACTATTTGTTTTATTAAAGTTTTGGGGTTTTCTTTGTTTTTGTTTTTGTTCAAGGTGGAGTCTCACTCTATCTCCCAGGCTGGAGTACAGTGGCACAATCTCAGCTTACTGAAAACTCCACCTCCTGGGTTCAAGTGATTCTCCTCCCTCAGCCTCCCAAGTAGTTGGGACCACAGGCATGTACCACCATACCCAGGTAATTTTTTTTTTTTTTAAGAGATGGGGTTTCTCCATGTTGGTCAGGCTGGTCTTGAACTCCCAACCTCAGGTGATCTGCCCATCTTGGCATCCCAAAGTGCTGGGATTACAGGTGTGAGCCACTGTGCCCTGCCCTAATTTTTGTATTTTTAGTAGAGATGGGGTTTCACCATGTTTGCCAGGCTGGTCTCGAACTCCGGACCTTGTGAGCCACCCGCCTTGGCCTCCTGAAGTACTGGGATTACAGACGGGAACCACCATGCCCCACCTGTGCATAGGTATTTATGCAAATGTCAAGGCTCTGACAATGACTATGCTTCTCTCCCTTCCTCCTTAACACCTCACCCTCAGCAAGCTCCCCTCACACTAATGGCTGGCGCTGATTCATTACAACAAAGTGTTCCAATAGTGACAGAGTGGGTTTGAGTAAAATGGAACTGTTGAGTTAAAAACTGAAATACTAAGAAAAGTTTATTTTAATCTTTTTTTAACCCCAAATTAGGCTGCTTGGCAATTCAGATGTAGTAGACATATGCTACATAGAGTATTTTTTTCTACTTCTCCTTTTTTAATACAGAATAAGGTGGGGTCTTATTCTGTCATCCAGGCTGGAGTGCAGTTGTGTGATCATAGCTCACTGTGTCCTCAAACTCCTTGGCTCAGCGGATCCTCCTGCTTCAGCCGCCTGAGTAGCGAGAACCACAGGTGCACGCCACCACACTGGGTTAATTTTTTTTTTTTTTTTTTTTTTTGAGTCTTGCTCTGTCATCCAGGCTGGAGTGCAGTGGCGTGATCTTTACTCACTGCAACCTTCACCTCCTGGGTTCAAGAGATTCTCCTGCCTCAGCCTCCTGAGTAGCTGGATTACAGTCACACACCACATCTGTAATTCTAAAAATTTTTTGAGAGATGGGGTCTTGCTATGTTGCCCTGGCTGGTCTCAAACTCCTGGGCTCAAGTCATCTTCCCTGGGCAGATTTTTCTGGATATCCATTTTTTTCTTCTATTTTTATTTTTTAAAAATATTTTGTAGAGACAGGGTCTCACTATGTTGGTCAAGCTAGTCTCAAACTCCTGGACTCAAGTAATCCTCCTGCCTTGGCCTCCCAAAGTGCTGAGATTACAGGCATGAGCCACTGTGCCTGGCTAAGGATGATTTTTTTTTTTTTTTTTAAAGACAGGGTTTCACCATGTTGGCCTGGCTGGTCTTGAACTCCTAACCTCAGGTGATCCACCCACCTCGGCCTCCTAAAGTGCTGAGATTACAGGCGTGAGCCACCACGCCCACCTGATTTTTTTTTTTTTTTTTTTTTTGAGACAGAGTCTTATTCTGTTGCCCTGGCTGGAGTGCAATGGCACTATTTCGGCTCACCACAACCTCTATTTCCCGGGTTCAAGCAATACTCCACCTCAGCCTCCTGAGTGGCTGGGATTACAGGCATGCGGCACCATACCTGGCTAATTTTTGTATTTTTAGTAGAGACGGGGTTTCACCATGTTGGCCAGGCTGGCCTCAAACTCCTGACCTCAAGTGATCTGCCCACCTCAGCCTCCCAAAGTGCTGAGACTACAGGCATGAGCCACCACACCCAGCCTGGGGTACATTAATTCTTAAAGTTGTAAGTTATACTATACTTATGTCTATTTCCTGTGGCCCAGTGTGATCCCTTCCCAGTTCCAGCACAAATTTTAATCAAGTACCCCTGGTGTTAGGAGACATTTAATATTTTCCAGAGGTTTGCAGGCTTTTTCTACAAAGGCCAGATGGTAGAATATTTCTGGCTTTGTAAGCCTAATGATCTGTGTCATGACAACTTAACTCTGCCACTGCTACTGGCAAGCAGCCACAGACAACATATAAATGAACAGAGTGACGCTGCATTCCAGTAAGACTTCATTTAGGGACACTGAAATCTACATTTCATCTAATTGCCTTTTTTTTTTTTTTTTTTTTTGAGACGGAGTTTCACTCTTGTTACCCAGGCTGGAGTGCAATGGCACGATCTCGGCTCACCGCAACCTCCGCCTCCTGGGTTCAGGCAATTCTCCTGCCTCAGCCTCCTGAGTTGCTGGGATTACAGGCACGCGCCACCATGCCCAGCTAATTTTTTGTATTTTTAGTAGAGACGGGGTTTCACCATGTTGACCAGGTTGGTCTCCATCTCTCGACCTTGTGATCCACCCGCCTCGGCCTCCAAAAGTGCTGGGATTACAGGCTTGAGCCACCGTGCCCGGCCTGTTTTTTGTTTTTTGTTTTTTTTTTTAACGGAGATTGGATCTCACTGTATCCCCCCAGGCTGGAGTGCAGTGGTGAAATCTCAGCTCACTTTAACCTCCACCTCCTGGGTTCAAGTGATTCTCCTGCCTCAGCCTCCTGAGCAGCTGGAATTACGTGCATTTGTCACCACACCTGGCTAATTTTTGTATTTTTAGTAGAGACAGGGTTTCGCCATCTTGGCCAGGCTGGTCTCGAACTCCAGACTTTGTGATCTGCCTGCCTCAGCCTCCCAAAGTGCTGGGATTATAGGTGTGAGCCACCATGCCTGGCCTTTTTTTTTTTTTTTTTGAGATGAAGTGTTGCTCTGTTGCCCAGGCTGGAATGTGGAGTGTACTGGTGCGATCTCAGCTCACTGCAACCTCTGCCTCCCAAGCTGAAGCAATACTCTGCCTCAGCTTCCCAAGTAGCTGGGATTATAGGTGCCTGCCACCACCACTGGCTAATTTTTGTATATTTAGTAGAGAAGGGGTTTCACCATCTTGGCCAGGCTGGGCTTGAATTCCTGACCTCGTCATCCACCCACCTTGGCTTCCCGACGTGCTGGGATTACAGGTATGAGACACTGTGCCCAGCCAAATTTCATATAATTTTCATGTATCTCAAAATATCATCCTTGTATTGATTTTTTCCAACCAGTTAAAAATGTAAAAAGATTTGTAGTTCATGGGTCATAAAAACACAGATGGTGGGCCAATTTGGCCCGTGGTCAAGGGTTACTGAGCCCTGAAGGATTGAAAACACAGGTTGAGGCCACGCATGGTGGCTCAGGCTTGTAATCCCAGCAGTTTGGAAGGCCAAGGTGGGTGGGTCACCTGAGGCCAGGAGTTCGAGACATGCCAGGAGTTCGAGACCAGCCTGGCCAACATGGTGAAATCCCATCTCTACTAAATACAAAAAAGTTAGCCAGGTATGGTGGCGCATGCCTGTAATCCGAGCTACTCAGGAAGCTGAGGCAGGAGAATTGCTCGAACCCTGGATGTGGAGGTTGTAGCAAGCCAAGACTGTGCCACTGCCATTGCACTCCAGCCTAGGCAACAAGCGTGAAAACTCCATCTCAAAAAAACAAAACAAAACAAAACACCGCACAAGTTGAGCATCCTAAATCAAAAAATTCCAAATCTGAAGAGTTCCAAAATCTGAAACTCTTAGACTCAACAGGGAAATGCTCACTGGAGCACTGTGGATTTCTGGTTTTTCAGCTTAATGATGCTCAGCCAGTAAGGATAATGCAAATACTCCAAAATTCCAAAATCCAAAACACTGGTCCCAAACATTTCAGGTAAGGAATCCTTAGCCTTCATGAGGGCTACACTAATGGTGAATAAATAACTTTTTCAGGAATACAACAGACTGGTACAGTTGCTTTTTATATTAATTCGGTTTAACAGTGCTATAAACTTTGGATACGATATACTCAATACTACTAAACTTCAGTATGTTAGCAAAGTCTAGTCTAAAGATCCTGTCAAGTGGGAGGGTTTTCAAAGTCACCAGAAGTGGTAGTGTTATACCACCTAAACTCACCAAACATAATATAGTACTGTGATTTTTCATTCAGGTTCTTCTGGTCAATGTCCGCAGGAAAGACTTTAATGTAGCCTCCTCCACAGTCCATCTTCTGCTCATGTTTTACTGTGTACTGAATGACCAGAGTTTTCCCTTTATTGCTGAATGGTTTGAAGCGTGCAGAGATGGCATAGAATCGGCCATTTTGTGTGGTTTGCAGACCTTTGAACAAAAACACTCATGAGCGATTAGCAACAATGTTGTGCTCGGTAATGCAGGAAGTTAAACGGATGTCTTTCCCTTACTCCCAACCATAAATGTCCTAACCATTCACAGTGATCTGGTACCAATAGAGCACTATACAATACTGCATAATGGGCACACTGCTAGCAGGCACTCTGCTTCCATACGACTTGTATTTTACACACCTGAAAGTTTTTGTTTTTAACATACTGCTATTTATTTATTTACTTATTTATTTATTAGACAGAGTCTCATTCTGTTGCCCAGGCTGGAGTGCAGTGGCGCAATCTCGGTTCATTGCAACCTTCGCCTCTCGAGTTCAAGTGATTTTCCTGCCTCAGCCTCCCGTGTAGCTGCTGGGATTATAGGTGTGAGTCACCATGCTCAGCTAATCTTTGTATTTTTAGTAGAGACAGGGTTTCACCATATTGGCCAGGCTGGTCTCGAATTCCTGACCCCGTGATCTGCCTGCCTCGGCTTCCCATGGTGCTGGGATTATGGGCGCGAGCCACCGCACCCGGCCAGGTCACCTGTATTTTAAATTTTGTGGGTCATTTGGTCTCTTTCCTAACCACGCTACTCTGTCTTTTCAGCATAAAGCAGCCATAGACAATATAAATGAATGAATGTGGCTGTGTTCCAATGAAACTTTATTTATGAACACTAAACTTCCTTGTTTTTTTTTGAGACAGAGTCTTGCTCTGTAGCCCAGGCTGAATCTTTGCTCACTGCAACTGATGCCTTCCAGGTTCAAGTGACTCTCCTGCCTCAGCCTCCTGAGTAGGTGGGACTACAGGCATTCAACACCACACCTGGCTAATTTTTGCATTTTTAGTAGAGAATGGGTTTCATCACATTACCCAGGCTGGTCTTGAACTCCTGGCCTCAAGTGATCCGCCCCATCTCCCGCCTCCCAGAGTGCTAAGATTACAGGCGTGAGTCACCATGCCCAGCCTAAACTTTCACATATATAAAAGAAAATACAATTTAAAAGCCTTAAGAGGCCAGGCATGGTGGCTCACATCTGTAATCTCAGCACTTTGGGAGGCTGAGCCGGGTGGATCACTTGAGGTCAGGAGTTTGAGAGCAGCCTGGCCAACGGTGCCAAAACCCCATTTCTACTAAAAATACAAAATTAGTTGGGCATAGTGGCAGGTGCCTGTGGTCCCAGGTACTTGGGAAGCTGAGGCAGCTGAATCACTTGAACCTGGGAAGTGGAGAAGCCAAGACTGCCCCACTGCACTCCAGCTTGAGTAGCAGAGTGACACTCCGTTTTAAAAAGCAAATAAAATAGCTGCTGGGCGCGGTGGCTCATGCCTGAAATCCCAGCACTTGGGGAGGCCGAGGCAGGCAGACCACGAGGTCAGGAGACCGAGACCATCCTGGCTAACACAGTGAAACCCCATCTCTACTAAAAATACAAAAATTAGCTGGGCATGGTGGCAAGCACCTGTAGTCCCAGCTACTTGGGAGGCTGAGGCAGGAGAATCACTTGAAACTGGAAGGTGGAGGTTGCAGTGAGAAGAGATCGCACCACGGCACTCCAGCCTGGGTGACAGAATCAATAAAATAAATAAAATAAAATAAAATGAAAGCCTTGGGTGAGATGTGTGCTCTGAGTCATGCAGCTTGCAGGTGTAACCTCGGCTTCGTAGCTCGTAGGTTAACCTCTGCCTCATTGCTCTTGTTCTGTAAATGGCTAGGACAGACCAGAGTTACGCCTCCTCCACTTGTAACCACTGATCTTTGGTTACAGGTTAACTGCCTCCAGGATTGCCCTATACCTAACTCAGACCAGATGGCACACAAGATGCCAAGACTCTTACATCTTGAGGGTGAAATGTTAAATATACCATCTCAGAAGAAAAAGACCACCTTGGTTAATCAGGTCATGGTAATTATGTATCAAGCCTTGCATAGAAAGATGTTGAAGGCCGGCCGCGGTGGCTCAAGCCTGTAATCCCAGCACTTTGGGAGGCCGAGGCGGGTGGATCACAAGGTCAAGAGATCGAGACCATCCTGGTCAACATGGTGAAACCCCGTCTCTACTAAAAATACAAAAAATTAGCTGGGCATGGTGGCACATGCCTGTAATCCAAGCTACTCAGGAGGCTGAGGCAGGAGAATTGCCTGAGCCCAGGAGGCGGAGGTTGCGGTGAGCCGAGATAGCGCCATTGCACTCCAGCCTGGGTAACAAGAGCGAAACTCCGCCTCAAAAAAAAAAAAAAAAAAAAAAAAAAAAGAAAGATGTTGAAATTCTGTTAAGCTTCCCTCAACTTTGTGTATACCAATGATCCCAAACTTCTACACTTCAAAACAGACTTCTATTCTTTGGGATCTGTTTTCCAAACAGTTGTCCTCAAACTCTGAGCTTGAATTAGCTCTTCCCCGACTCCTCCCCGAGATGGAGTCTTGTGCCCAGGCTGGAGTGCAGTGGCGCAATCTCTGTTCACTGCAACCTCTGCCTCCTGGGTTCAGGCAATTCTCTTGCCTCAACTTCTCCATTAGCTGGAATTACAGGCATGTGCCACCACGCCTGGCTAAGTTTTGTGTTCTTAGTAGAGATGGGGTTTCACCATGTTGGCTAGGCTGGTCTCAAACTCTTAACTTGGTGATCTGCCTGCCTTGGCCTCCCAAAGTGCTGGGATTACAGGCGAGCCACTGCGCCTGGTTGAATTAGCTCTCTTTAAGCTAGATGATGATAATTATTTTTTGGAGACAGAGTCTTGCTCTGTCATCCAGGCTGCAGTATAGTGGTGTGATCTCGGCTCACTGCAACGTCTGCCTCTCAGGTTCAAGTGATTCTCCTGCCTTAGCCTCCCAAATAGCTGGGACTACAGGCTCATGCCACCACAACTGGCTAATTTTTGTCTTTTTTTTTTTTCTTGAGACAGATCTCCCTCTGTTGTCCAGGCTGGAGTGCACTGGCATGATCTCGGCTCACTCCAACCTCAGCCTCCTGGGTTCAAGTGATTCTCCTGCTTCAGCCTCTGAAGTTGGTGAGATTATAAGTGTGTGCTACCACACCCAGTTATTTATTTATTTATTTATTTATTTTTTGAGATGGAGTTTCGCTTTCGTTACCCAGGCTGGAGTGCAATGGCGCGATCTCGGCTCACCGCAACCTCCACCTCTTGGGTTCAGGCAATTCTCCTGCCTCAGCCTCCTGAGTAGCTGAGATTACAGGCACACACCACCATGCCCAGCTAATTTTTTGTATTTTTAGTAGAGACGGGGTTTCACCATGTTGACCAGGATGGTCTCGATCTCTTGACCCCATGATCCACCTGCCTCGGCCTCCCAAAGTGCTGGGACTACAGGTGTGAGCCATTGCGCCCGGCCTAAGTTTTGTATTTTTAATAGAGACTGAGTTTTGCCATGTTGGCCAGGCTGGTCCTGAACTCCTGACCCCAAGTGATCTGCTCGCCTTATCTTGATCTGCCTGTACAGACATAAAAGATCTGCTCACCTTATATTGACCTGCCTGTACAGATGTAAAAACTCATTCTGTTGTCTACTGAAAAATGTACAAGCAACAAGAGGTGATGTTTACCTCTGTGATTTCTTTTTCAGATGGAGTGTCATTCTGTCACCCAAGGCTGGAATGCAGTGCTGCGATCTCAGTTCATTGCAATCTCTGCCTCCTGGGTACAAATGATTCTCCTGCCTCAGCCTCCCAAGTAGCTGGGATTATAGGTGTGTGCCAGCATACCTTAGCCTTCCGAGCTGGAACTACAGACACATACCTGGCTATTTGCTTTTTGTTTTTTTGAGACTGGAGTCTCGCTCTGACACCCAGGCTTGAGAGCAGTGGCACGATCTCAGCTCACTGCAACCTCCGCCTCCCGGCTTCAAGCAATTCTCTGCCTCAGCCTCTCCAGTAGCTGGGATTACAGGCACCTGCCACTACACCTGGCTAATTCTTTGTATTTTTAGTAGAGACAGGTTTTTATCATGTTGGCCAGGCTGGTCTGGAACTCAAGTAATCCACCTGTCTTGGTCTCCCAAAGTACTGGGATTACAGGTGTGAGCCACTGTGCCTGATCATATTTTTCTTTTTAATGCAAACATTAAAATGAGAGGAGCCCACTTTTCCCTCTGAGGGAAATGGCCCTTGATCCCCATATGCACTTGACTGGTGTCTTTTAAGAGGGGCAATTTTGGTAATGGATACTAGTAACACATTTTTTTAAAGATGGAGTCTTGACCTGACGCGAGGCTGGAGTGCAGTGGTGCAATCTGGGCTCACTGCAACCTCCTCCTCCCGGGTTCAAGTTATTCTCCTGCCTCAGCCTCCCTAGTAGCTGGGACTACAGGTGTGTGCCACCATGCCTGGCTAATTTTTTGTATTTTAGTAGAGACAGGGTTTCACCATGTTGGCCAGAATGGTCTCCATCTCCTGACCTCGTGATCTGCCCGCCTCAGCCTCCCAAAGTACTGGGATTACAGGTGTGAGCCACCACGCCTGGCCAACACATTTATATAAATATAATCCAAAGAAGGTTAAACATCATTGCATATGTGACAGTGCTTCTTGTATGATTTTATTATACCAAATAAACTGAATACGTCTCCTTGGACTTCAGGGGACCTAATACCAATAATATAATAGTAATAGTAATAATAATAATAGGCCAAGCACCTTGGCTCACGTTTATAATCCCAGCACTTTGGGAGGCTGAGGGGCGATCACTTGAGGCCAGAAGTTTGAGAGCAGCCTGGGTAACATGATGAAACCCCCATCTCTAAAAAAAATTAGCCTGAAACAGGCAAGTTGGTGCATGCCTGTAATCCTAGCTCCTAGGAAGCCTGAAACAGAATTGCTTGAATCCTGCAGGTGGTTTGAGTGAGCCAAGATCGTGCCACTGCACTCCAGCCTGGGAAACAGAGCGAGACTCCTGTTCAAAAAAAAAAAAAAAAAAAGGAGCAATCTTCGGCAATAAAGAAAGGAGAGAGGAGGCCAGGTGTGGTGACTCACACCTGTAATCCCAGCACTTTGAGAGGCTGTGGCGGGTGGATCACAAGGTCAGGAGTTTGAGATTAGCCTGGCCAACATGGTGAAACTCCTTCTGTACTAAAAATACAAAAATCAGCTGGGTGTGGTGGCGCTCGCCTGTAGGCCCAGCTACTCAAGAGTCTGAGGCAGGAGAACTGCTTGAACCCGGGAGGCGGAGGTTGCAGTGAGCCAAGATCATGTCACTTGCACTCCAGCCTGGGCAAGACTCTGTCTCCAAAAAAAAAAAAGAAAGAAAAGAAAAAGAAAGGAGAAAACAACAAAAGATAAGGAAGCCTTGCCTTAAAGTCTACCTTTGCCTTAAGGTCTTCATGTGTAAAATGGGAATAAAATCTTTTGGCTGTGCCGTAACTACCTTGAAAGGTTGCTATGGAAATGTAACAATAGGCTCGATTTGGTCCTGATTCTACACTAACCTTTATCTTTTTCTTTATGACCATAAAACTTCCCCGACGAGACTCTAAAATGCCCAAATCGGGAGTCATTGGTGGACTGCACCCATCGGTTTCTCCAGTGCTCTGTGGGGAGGGGAAATGACACCAGTTAGAGCTGGTAACAGTTAATTCGCGTCCAGGGAAGGGTTCGCTGCCATCGACCCCGCAGCGACTCTGGCCAGCCTTAGGGGGGACGGAGATAGGGGAGCTTACACCCTTGCCACCACGGGCGTCAGCCCTTCACCTCCGTCTAGAAATTCCTCTTGGAAATAAACGGTAGCCAGCGCCACCCGCAGCATGCAGATGGCCCAGAGTGGGACCCGAGCCCAGGCCATGGCGGCGGTGCACTGAGCTTCCTGTCGCTGCCGCCCCTTCGCTTCCAGCGGTCTCTGCGGCTCTTCAGGCGAGCCCCGAAACTACCACTCCCGTCACGCCTCACGATTATGACCTGAGGTCTCATAGGTCGCTGCGGCGCGGGGCACTTCGGGCCCGTCCCGGAACTACCACTCCCATGACGCCCCGCGATTGTGATTCGGCGCACCATTGGTCCCCGGGACGCGATGCTTCCCGGGAGTTGTAGTCCCTTCTGGCTCCGTTGCCCAGGGCAACCGCTCCCTCAGGCCTGAATGTGGCGGCGATTTCTGCGAATGGACACCCTGGGAGGAGGTCGGTAGGGCTGGTGGGGAGGTGACACGCCTGAGCGCACGGGCTCGCGAGAGGAGAGACGGGGAAATCGGGCGTGCTCTGGGGCTGAGCTGGTCGGGTAGCTGAGCTGGTCGGGCGGCTGCAGGGTGGTCCCGCGCCTCAGTTTCCCTGTCTGGGGTCTGTTCAGTCTGGTGCGGGTCGCTTCATAGCAGGGGAGAAGGGATGGTCTGAGGGGCGCCAGGATTTTCAAATTTTGGTTTGTTGATTTTGAACAACTTTATTGAGCTGCTATTTGCATACCATAGTAGTTCGCCACTTTTAAGCTGATGACTCGGTTATTTTTAGTAAATCTTCAAAGTTGTGAAGCCGTCACCACCATTCAGCTCATCCCGCTTTAGAACTCTGCATCAGGCCGGGCGCGGTGGCTCATGCCCGGAATCCCAGCACTTTGAGAGGCAGAGGTGGGAGGATCACTTGAGGCCAGGAGATTCAGAGTAGCCTGGGCAACGTGGCGAGACCCCATCTCTAAAAAAGATAAAAATAAATAATTAGCCAGGTGCAGTGGTACGTGCCTATAGTCCCAGCTACTCGGGATGTTGAGGCGGGAGGGAGGATTTCTTGTGTCTAGGAGGTCAAGGCTGCTGTGTGCTGTGATCATGCCACTGCCCTCCAGCCTGGGTGGCAGAGCGAGACCCCTACTCAAAACAAAACAAAACAAACAAAAAACAAAACTAAACTTTCCATTACCCAAAGAGATTCCTTCGTTCCTTTGCAGTCTGTCCTCACTCACACCCACAGTTCCAGGGAACCGCTCATCTGTCTTCCTTTTTTTGTTTGTTTGAGGTCTCACTCTGTCGCCCAGGCTAGAGTGCAGTGGCGTGATCTCGGCTCACTGCAACCTCCGTCTCCCGGGTTCAAGGATTCTCCTGCCTCAGCCTCCTGAGTAGCTGGGATTACAGGCACACACCACTATGCTCAGCTAATCTTTGTATTTTTAGTAGAGATGGCGTTTCACCATGTATGCCAGGCTGGTCTTGAACTCCTGACCCCAGGTGATCTGCCAGCCTCAGCCTCCCAAAGTGTTGGGATTACAGCCACCGCGCCGGCCCAATCTGCTTTCTGAGTTTATTGGTTTGCCTCTTCTGGACAGTTCTTAAAAATGAAATCATAGGGTGTGCGGAGTTAGTGTCTGGCTGCTTTCCCTTAGTATGACATATTTGAGATTCGTGCATGCTGTTATAGTAGTATTTGCCTTTTTTAAATTGCTGAACAGTATTCCACTGTATGGATGGACTGTAGTTTATAATCCATTTCACTAATTAATGGACATTTACACTGGTTCCTCTTTTAGTCTGCTAGGAGTAGTAAGTATTATGGGGCCAGATGTGGTGATGCGGGACTGTAATCCCAGCACTTTGGGAGGCTGAGGCTGGTGGATCGCTAGAACCTGGGAAGTGGAGAACAGCCTGGGCAACACAGTGAGACCTTGTGTCTGCAAAAAGTTAGCCAGGCATGGCTATGTGTGTCTGTAGTCACAGCTACCCAGGAGGCTGAGGTGGGAGGATCGTGTGACCCTGGGAAGTCGAGGCTGTAGTGAGCCATGATTACGCCACTGCACTGCAGCCTGGGCAACAGAGTGAGAGACTGTCTCAAAAAAACCAAATAAAACTATTATGAACATTTGCATACATGTTCATTCCTCTTGGGCCATGTAGGAGTGTAATTCCTGGGTCATATGGTAACTCGGTGTCTAACCTTTTGAGGAATGGGGACTGTATCATTTTATAATCATTTTAAAATTTCCCCAACAACATCCTTCTCTCTCTCTCTCTCTCTCTCTTTCTCTCTTCAGAAACAGGGTTGGCCAGGCATGGTGGCTCACGCCTGTAATGCCAGTACTTTGGGAGGCTGAGGCGGGTGGTTTACAAGGTCAGGAGTTCAAGCCCAGCCTGGCCAAGATGGTGAAACCCCGTCTCTACTAAAACTACAAAAATTTGCCAGGCACAGTGGCGGGTACCTGTAATCCCAGCTACTCGGGAGGCTGAGGCAGGAGAATCACTTGGGCCCGGGCAGCAGAGGTTGCAGTGAGCTGAGATTACTATACTCCAGCCTGGGCATCAGAGTGAGATCTGGTCTTAAAAAAAAAAAAAGAAAGAAAAGAACCAGAGTCTTGCCCTGTCATCCAGGCTGGGTGCAGTGGCACAATCAGGGCTCACTGCAGCCTCAAACTCCTGGGCTGAAGCAATCCTCCCCCCTCAGCCTCCCAAGTAACTGGGACTAGACGTTTGTGCCACCAAACCCAGCCAATTTTTTAATTTTTTGTAGAGATGAGGTCCACCTATGTTGCCCAGGCTGGTCTTGAACTCCTGGGCTCAAGTGATCCTCCCGTCTTGGCCTTCCAAAGTACTGGGATTATAGACATGAGCCACTGTGGGCTTCAATCTCTTCACTTCCTTACCAACACTTGTTATGTGTATTTTTGATTATAGTCATCCTCGGAAATGTGAAGTAGTATTTCCTCATGTGTTTTTTCTTTTCTTTCTTTTTTTTTTTTTTTGAGACGGAGTCACACTCTGTCATCAGGCTAGAGTGCAGTGGTATGATCCTGGCTCACTGCAACCTCCACCTCCTGGGTTCAAGCAGTTCTTTTACCTCGCCTGGAGAGTAGCTGGGATTACAGGCATGCACCCCGCCCCCTCATGCCCAACTACTTTTTGTATTTTTAGTACAGACAGGGTTTCACATGTTGGCCAGGCTGGTCTCGACCTCCTGACCTCGGGATGTGCCCACCTCGGCTTCCCAAAATGCTGGGATTAAGGCGTGAGCCACCACGCGCAGCCATTCCTAGTGGTTTTGATTTGCATCTCTGTAACGACTAGTGACATTGAATAGCTTTTCATATGCTTATTAGTTTTTTTTTTTTTTTAAGACAGGCTTTCACCATGTTGGTCAGGCGGGTCTTGAACTCCCGACCTCAGCTGATCTGCCTGCCTTGGCCTCCAAAGTGCTTAGATTACAGGCGTGAGCCACTACGCCCGGCCACTTATTATTTATATGTATTTTTTGCATATTCAGTGTATCTGTTCACATCTTTTGCCCATTGGTTTATTTTATTTTATTTTATTTTATTTATTTATTTTTTTGAGACGGAGGTTCGCTCTTGTTACCCAGGCTGGAGTGCAATGGCGCGATCTCGGCTCACCGCAACCTCCGCCTCCTGGGTTCAGGCAATTCTCCTGCCTCAGCCTCCTGAGTAGCTGGGATTACAGGCACGCGCCACCATGCCCAGCTAATTTTTTGTATTTTTAGTAGAGACGGGGTTTCACCATGTTGACCAGGATGGTCTCGATCTCTTGACCTCGTGATCCACCCGCCTCGGCCTCCCAAAGTGCTGGGATTACAGGCTTAAGCCACCGCGCCCGGCCTATTTTATTTTGAGACAGAGTTTTGGTGTTGTTGCTCGGGCTGGAGCGCAATGGCGCGATCCTGGCTCACCGCAACTTCTGCCTCCTGGGTTCAAGTGATTCTCCTGCCTCAGCCTCCTGAGTAGCTGGGATTACAGGCATGCACCACCACATCTGGCTAATTTTACATTTTTAGTAGAGCTGGGGTTTCTCCACATTAGCCAGGCTGGTCTTGAACTCCTGACTTTGGGTGATCTGCCCGCCTCGGCCTCCCAAAGTGCTGGGATTATAGGCATGAGCCACAGTGCCTGGCTGCCCACTAGTTTATTGTAACTGTTGTGTTTTAAATATACGTATATAATTTTAGTTGTAGTAAAATATATATGGTATCAAATTATCCTTTTTAACCATTTTTTCATTGACTTAATTTGGAACCCAAGGAAACTTCTAGAAGAACTAAATGGCAGAAAATCTAGCCTGATGGTCAGGTCTTCCTTCTGACTCATAGAATGACCCAGGCTGAGCCATCTCCTGAGCCTTGCCTACAGATATTAACAGAGAGTTGTTGACGTTCTCCCGGCACTGTGTGTGTGTGAAGCAACATGCTAGGGACCTTAGTTATATTGTCCTTCCAGCTAAAAGGTAACCCATTATGCAAGTGGTCCAGGTACTGCCATTACTGCTTTTTTTTTTTTTTTGAGACAGAGTCTCCCTCTGTTGCCCAGGTTGGCTTGCAGTGGTGTGATTTTGGCTCACTGCAGCCTCCTCCTCCTGGGTCAAGCAATTCTGTTTCAGCCTCCTAAGTAGCTGGGACTATAGGTGCCTGTCACCATGGCCAGCTAATTGTTTTATTATTGTTATGTTTTAGTAGAGACAGGGTTTTGCCATGTTGGCCAGCCTGGTCTCGAACTCCTGACCTCAAGTGCTCCACCTGCCTTAGCCTCCCAAAATGCTGGGATTAAAAGCGTGAGCCACCACACTTAGCCCTTACTGCCATTTAAATGTTACTGAGTACTTTTGCACGTCCCACTCGGAATATATAGGAATCCTATGAGAGTAATAGTTACTATTTATTTATTTTGAGACGGAGTCTCACTCTGTCACCAGGCTGGAGTGCAGTGGCGCAATCTTGGCTTACTGCAACCTCCACCTCCTGGGTTCAAGCGATTCTCCTGTCTCAGCCTCCTGAGTAGCTGGGACTACAGGTGCATGCCACCACGCCTAGCTAATTTTCGTATTTTTATTAGAGATGGGGTTTCGCCATGTTGGCTAGGATGGTCTCTATATCTTGGCTTCTTGATTCATCCACCCTGGCCTCCCAAAGTGCTGGGATTATAGGCGTGA